GGCTTTGCTCCTTATTCCCTGGAAGGAATCCCAGAGTCCTGACCTCTATTTTTTCTGCCAGTCCCATACTCCTTGTTGCCCAGTAGACATTTCCACTTATAGTTCTCTCTCGTACCACAAATGTTCATATCTAAAGCAGAGAGGTTTTTTCCCATTTCTCCCACCCAAACCAGGTCTTCCTCATTAACGTGTCCATGCCAAATTTAAACCAATGAGCCAAACTCCAACTTGGGGTACAATGTCACATGTCGCCTTTGTACCCATGATCCTTTGATACTGGCCCCTGCAGAACCCTCCCCACACCCACCGCCACGCTGATGCCTGCCTGGATTTCTACACTAACCTCAAATTTAGATCACTGAACTCTCTCCTTTGATACATCCTTTTGTCTATACTGTTACTGTGGAAGCAGGCCCAGCTGGGTCCTCCTCCACCTCCCTTGACCCTGGAGAAGATGGGACTGCATCCTAGGCAGATGTTCCTTGGGCATGCTCACCACCTTTGTGTGTGTCCTTCCCAAAGCAGCAGAAAGAAAAGAAAGACAAGAATTTCCCCAGATGGTGGCCCTTTGCCTTAGTTGGGCACTGCTGAGCTCTTTTGCAATCAAGATTTTGAGGCAGACGTGGTGGCACACATCTGTAATCCAGCTACTTGGGAGGCTGAGGCAGGAGGATCACAAGCTTAAGGCCAGCTGGAGCAACTTTGTGTGACCCTTCCTCAAAATAAACTAAGTGCTGAGGATATATAGCTCAGCACTTCCTGTGTTCAACCCTAGTATCTCTCTCTCTCTCTCTCTCACACACACACACACACACACACACACACACACACACTTGAGATTCAAGGGTGCAGAATTACCCAATTAACCATCCTTTATCCAGATATATTATCCTCAAGATTCATCAACAGTTTCCCCTGCCCAAAGAATAATGTGTCAGTCTCTGAGCTTGCCCACTAGCCCTTGATAATTTGGCTTCAGAGTACCATCTGCATGCATTCCTTCCTGGTCTTCGAGGACTCTTTCTTTGAGCCATACACCTATGACCGACATTCTCCCCTCTTCTGCATCTGCACCTGTATGTTTCTCCCTTTCCTCCCTCCAACTTTATATGGCATCTGCCCATGGTGTCGAGTTTCACTGAAGCACCATTCAGCATAACGGCTCCCCATGGCCACAGCCAGAAGTGATCCTGCTGCACTGAACACCCCATAACCTGTGATTGATACGTACTGTGTGGGCTCTGTCCTCCTTGCTGGACTCAAGTGAACTCAAGGATCGTTACCTTCACCAGCCTGCTGGCAGCTACCGTGATGCTGATGGACAGAAGGGAGGCAGTTCTTGCTCAAACTGTTCTAAGCCTTAATGTTTTCCACTCTTATGTCAATGTCATGAGACTTGAGCTTTTAAAAAGTAACTCTTTTGAATGATTATTCTTCAGGTACCAAGATGCAAAGAAGTTTTAGAGAACACGCTAATGTAAACTAATGTTCCACACACACACTCAGTTATAGCACATGAACATGCACTCTGAAACATGACTGCCTAATCCAATTTAATGCTTCTTCCGACCTAACAAGATGTAAAGTCGGTCACAGTAGGATGGCAGAAAAGCTGTCCAGCCACCTGAATGAAGCTTCTCTAGGCTCTCAGAACATAAACTTCAAGAGAGATGAGTTTAATACCAAATTATAGTTTGAGCCCCTATCTTGTACTTTTTTTATTTGAGATCTTTAGTGTAGACCTTAAGAGCTAAATGAGACCTTTAAGATCAATTTCAATTTGGAAAAAGACCAAAGGGACATACCAAAAATCACCAAGCCCATGTCTGTCCACAATACAATCTTGTGAGAGCAGTAAAGAGCCCAATTTTAGATTCTAAGTCATTTCTCCAAAAATAATTCACATATTATATGCCTTAACTTCATTTTTTGTACAAAGTATGGTATTGTGAATTAATGAAAAGCAGCTTTAGGCAGGCATAGTGGCAGGTCTGTAATCCTAGCACTCAAGGGAGGCTGAGGGAGGCAGATCACTTTCAGTTCAAGGCCAGCCTGGGCTACACAGTGAGTTCAAGGCCAGCCTGAACTACACAGAGACCCTGTCTAGGGTGGGGTAGGGGGGACTTTAAATTTTAAGTCAGCAGACATATAAAAAAGAAGTATCAAACTGGGAAATTAGCTCTCAACAATCACTTTCCAAAGCTCTTGAACTGAGCATAGAATTAAATACACAAAGTTTGGGCACAGCCAGTTTTGAATACTCAAAATAGTAGTTTGAAAAAGGACCTGACATCCTCTAGTGGTGAAATCAGAAAGTTATTTCCAAGACAATTGTTTTGTTTTTTTAGTTTGTGCTCATCTTTGGCTATTGACAAAAAAAAAAAAAAAAAAATTACAGTACATTGAAAGAACTAATCATCCTCAAGAAAAATATAAGTGTTCATCATAAAGTGTGTAATCAAATCACTACTACCTTTGAGAAGATAAATGTGTATCTATGAAATTATGTTTTTATATTTTGAATTTATATAGTACCTTTAAATAGGCAGTATGCCACCAATTTTCAATCGATCTTTGATATATATATACGTGCATATAATTCTGAACACATTACAGGTATTTTTTAATATAACAACCTGAGATTCTAATCTAAATTACCCTAGAACTATATGAGTCTTTGCATGGAGACACAAAAACTAAAAGCCATTTAAAAGTAGATTCTACCTCATAATAATGAAATCTAAAAAAATAAAATAAAACGAATCTATCAAGATTCATTGGCATTTGAGGTGGCAATTTTCACTTCATAGTAATAAAAGACAGAGGTCTCCCTACCACGCTCCTTCAAAATGAAAATCTCCAAATATACCTGTGATCATAAAAAATTATATATATATTGTATATACATAAGGATTTCTAGTATATGAGTGTATATGTGAATTATCTTAGTACTAAACTTAAGACCTTTTTCTAATATAGGTCATGTGTTTTGAATACATGGAAGAACTTAAATTGTTAAAATTCAAACAAACCTCATTTGTTCTCTCAAAATGTTGCTATCTAGATTGAAAAAAATGAAATATTTTTATATCTTTTTTTGGCACTTGCTGACACAGGTGTTTCTGAGCACCCAGCAGGGCTAGAAAAATGAAAAAAAAATGTGGGGCCAGAAACACATTTTTAAATTACAAAGTACAATTATTCAAAAAGACCCTATTTTAAAGACAAATATAAAACATGTCCCTTGGAACTTGAAATTTCTATGCAAAAGTATGGAAGAATTGTTTTCTATGAAGGAAATGGCAGCTGATTTAATTCCCACTCCTAATAAAAGGAAATATTTTACTGGCTCCTGGTTGATTTGTATATTAATTGTTAAAGGCATGGCCAGTTCATTCCATAACATGCACAGGCACTGACATACTACAGTCTCAAGTTCACTTCTGAACGTCTGAACAAGTTGCAATGCAGATTCTAGGAAGTTCATTTGTGAACATAAATTGATTCGTAGAAAGTTCAACATCTTCTGAATACATGATGTGCAAAAACTGTTCCTGAGCAATTTTATTTCAGAAGCAATACCTGTCAGGAACTTACAGCTGAGCATGTGGCTTTCCTGCCACCATCCTGGGGGCCCCCAGCCAGCACCCCGCTTGCTCATCAGGTTTCCCAAAGCAATTACACAGGCATCCGTCTCCTCCACCCAAACCAAAACAGTGATCTGCAATCTTCCAAACACATTAAGACAAAATCAACCGCCCAGCAGGAAGTGGCACGACTTACACAAGTTCAAGTCACCTTGACAGCCTTAACCTCAGGTGTTCGGCTGAAGATGTAAACCAGCCTCTTCCTAGCCCGAGCAGACACACAGTCTGCAAACACGGTTAACCTCTCCGGACCTTTTACCTTAATATAAGCTCCAACTACATCCTCACCTCGTAGGCAGTGGAGGGTTGTGAAGTGACTCTTGCATTTAGAGAACAATTATTTCCGATTGTGGGTGTATGGGAGCAGTAAACAGGTTGCAACTGGGGAGTCTACACCTTGGGTTTCTTTTTAAAATAAGAAACTGCCTCACCACCCCCACCCCAAGAATAGGAAGGTACAGAGTTTACTGGTGAAAGTTTACTGGCCAAGAATAGAATAAAAGAAGCGGTGGAGGGTTGCTAAGAGAGTCTCAAGAAAATCACAAGGTGGGTCGCTTTCATCTAGGGAGAGACGCAGCAAGGTCGTGCGGAGACTTGCTGCGTCTCTAGGGTGCGACCCCCTGGCCTGTGTGCGTCCCTGGTGGCTGTGGGAGAGGGAGACTGTGACGACCTGATGGGGCGCAGAGCCCGTCCAGCCCGCAAGCTCCGAGCTCCGCGTGCAGCGTGGGGCCCCGGCCTCCCCGGCTCGCGCCCGCAGTGTCGCCACGGTGTCCCCGGGGCTGAGCGCTCAGGGCGCCGCCAAGGGCGACGCCGGCGCGCCCAGGGGTGGCGGTGACGGTGCCCAGGATCAGGTCGTCCGCCCGTCGCACCTGGCCGAGGGCTTTCCGGCGCCTCGCTCGGTCCAGGGGACTCGGTGTCCCGGCGTAGCCGAGAGCCAGCCGCGTGGGGCAGGGCCGCGAGCAGGTTCCCCGGCTCCCTCGCGCCCAGGCGGGCGTCCTCCTGCGGTGGGGACGGAGGGCGACCCGGCGCCCGGCAGAGCAGGGCCGCGGACAGCGAGGCCCCCGGCGCCCCACACTGGGCCCAGACCCCACCGGCCACCGCCAGCCCTTGGTTCCGCGCCCGCCGGCAGGCCCCGCCGCGCAGTCACCTGTTTCGCTCTGCGCAGCGCCATCGCCGCCCCTGTGGCCGTCGCCTCCAGCTCCCGGCTCCGCCATGGTGCTCCGATGACGCGCCCGAGAGCCGCTCCGCCCTCTGCCTCGCCTCGCTCCCACCGGACCCCGCCTCCCTCCCCCCTCCTGGCCCGCGGCGCACACAGGTGAGCGCCGTCTGGGGCGGACGCGGGGTGCAGGCCGAAAGCGCCCCCTGGCGGGCAGGTGCGGCGAGGCAGCCGCTCCAACCCACAGCGCCGAGCGTCCGGGGAAGCCGGGCACCCGGGCCGCCGCCGGCTGCTGGAGGTCTGCTGGGGCGTCCACGAGGCTTGGTAGCGCAACCTAGAGTTTGGGACCAGAGACTGTCTGAGATCAGCCCAGGTGAGCTGAGGGCATGGGGACCCTCTGTTTCCTTCTGAACTCCGAAGCCATCAGGTCGGCGTTGGCTTCTCGGGGACAGGAGTTCTTGTTATGGTGGCCAAGAAATCTGATGCCACGTGGAGAGCCAAAGCGCCCGGTCTGGATTCCCCGCCCGGATCCGGTCTGGACGTGTGGTTTTAGGAAGCCATTGCAGTCTGCGGATCTGATGAGCCCCAAGGGACGCAACGTGGTGAAACCTGTGCCTACTGCTGCGGCTTTTGATTAGTAAACTTCCACGTGACTGACGGCTGGCTTGCTCTTGAAGACCAGGAATAAAGCAATAGGCAACATTTTTGTTTCTTGTTTTATTAGGAAACAGATTATTAGCCGAGGAGTAACCAATTTCTGTCCTAACACAAATAAATGATCAGCAACAAAATGCTGAGAAAAAAAAATAATGAGTAAGCTACATAAATGGAAACATAAGAAACAAGAATTGCGCAGCGACCTGTTCCGCCTGGTTACACAGAAATGCACTCCCACGCCCACGGTTGTCAGAACATGACCAGCCAGCTCTCAGTCCTTTCCAACCCTGTCAGGGACGCACCCGAGAGTGGCTTAGGACAGTTGTATTTCCTGCCAGGGTGACAATTCTCACAATCCTTACATCTGAAACCTGCCACTTTGAGCTCAGGAGTGGACTATTTTTGTTTGGGCTACTGGTTTTCTGGTTAAATAGATAGAAATTTTGATCAAGGGTCATTTTTGTTATGGTCTATATAGGACTATAGTTTTTCCCATAATGCCATTTCTACAACCGGAAAGGTAAACTTAGTGGCAATATGATATTCCTAAATCATTTCCAAATCAATCCCTACCAGACTTCTAATCATTAAAAATAAAGCTCAGTGGAGGTCACTTGAGCTTGGACCTCAGGAAAGGTATGTTTTGCTATTTTAAATCAGGGTTTAAGACACTTTGGAAGACTCAGCTGAATTTAGAGTTGGGCTCTTTGGCAGAACCATGGGAAAGAAAGATGATTTGTTTTTAACCTTGTGATTACTTTTTTTTTTTTCCTTTTGCCATATTGTTATTTAGGTTTGTTTTGTTTCATTTGGTTCTGTGTATGTTTATCTGTGCTCTCATTCTTTTGATAACTTACGTTTCAGACTGCACCAAGTGAAACAAAAATAAATGCGCTAAAGAACGCACCAAAGTCTGCACTTGGGTTCTGCGCATGTTCTAAGGCCAGTGCCAGTATCTGCAGCAGGGTGGGCTGTTGACGACTTTGCAGAGAATAGCTGGCATTTGCTAAATGTCAAACACCGTTGTCGTACTTCTCGTCATACTTTGCTTGGAACACAGAAGCCATCTGCCTTGAGCTCCCACATCCATCTCAAACTCTCCCCAAATCTTCACAGCTCCCTTTCCCAGGGGAGGAGCTGGACCTCCTCACTCCATCCACTCCCCTGCTGCCTCGTTGGAAGCCTCATCCCCTTCCTGCTGCTCCCTAAATGTCTCTCTGCCCAGGGCCTCCACCGCAACACACGTTCAAAACCTTTTGGTTCTGGAAATTTCTTCTCTCAACTCTCCACCCTCCCAAAGCTATTTTCCTACCCTTTGTTCACCCTAAGTAATAAAAGCAGGACTCTGGTGGCATGTCTTTTTTTTTTTTTTTTTTTAAACAAGCTATATAATTCTTCTTGCTCAGCTACAAAAACTTTCCAAGTCACAAAATCAAGTTACTTATTCTTCAACCTGTTGTCTCCTTAGACTTTCTGCAGACTTGATCCTACATCATCTTCCTCTTGGTCCAGCACTGGCCTTGTTTTCTCATTCCTCGGTGACCAATAGTTTTTTTCCTTTGTAGTTTAGATTCTTCTTCCTTCTGAGATCCTCACCTTCCCCAAAGTTTAGGACACAGTCTTTCTACCTCTCCTCTGTCTCTCACAGATCTGATTTACTAATAACCCCATCTAGATGACTCCTAGATCTAGAATATTCCTTTGACCTCAGTCCTCACTTCCTCCAGTACATTCTGGTCTCTGCAATTGTATCACAACGCCGTCATGAATTCAATCCATCTCCCTCTCCAGATTTCCTACATTTGAATTCTTCTCCTTCACAGGCTCAACAGCTATCCTTTCCTCTCCCTTGTCATTGCTGCCCACAGTCCCCAATCTTTCAGTTCATTCACACCACCCTCTTGCTTCTTATGGGCCTAAGTCCTGCCTGACTCTCAACTAGTTTACATCACCAGATTAATCTTGTAATAAATAGCCGCTGTACACACACACACACACACACACACACACACACACGACCTTGCTCAAAGACCTTTAATAGATTCTCCATTTCTAACTATTACCCCTCCCCTTCCTCACTCCCACCTCATCTTGAGTTCTGCCATATCCCATTTTCACCTTTTGCTTCTGTATTTCATATTTATAGCCAGTATGTTGTTCCTTTTCTCCAAAACACCTTTCAAATCTCCTCTTTCTAGCCTTTGTTCTTGGAGCTTTCTGCCTGCATTAATTCCCTGTCCTGACGTATTTAATAATGGCCCTCTCCAAGGTCCAAGTTAAGGTCCTTCTCCTCTATGATGTCACATGTGCAAGTAGGGCCTGTCCCCTGACCCTCCCGCGTGTCCAACCTTTAACATAACACCAGGTAGGATTTATTGCAAATTTGCACCTTCAATCTGATGTACATGTTTAGTGGTAGGGACTTTGTCTTCTAATCCTCTACAGGGTTTCTATGAAGTCTGGAACCATCAATTATTTTATTTTTCCACAGGTTGCAAATGTCCTTGCTGACGTCACGTGAGCTGCCTGCATTCTGAATGTGGTGGGCATCATGTGCTACCTTCCAGGCTGCCACAGTGCTGCACACAGGTTTTCAGATGGGTGAACAGTAATTCATTGCTGAATTCCTTTATGTGGTAGCTTCCTTTGTTTCATTCAGTGACAGAATTTGGAGAAGAGACAAAAATGTAGCTCAAAAGAAACATTGGAGCTACTTCTCCCAGCACATTTTTGCTTTTGTTTCTCTTCTAGAACTTCTGCCATGACCCCTGCCTGTTTTGTTCTAAGCTCAACTCTGGACCTTCACTTCTCTGGAAAGCTTTTCTTGATTCCCCTGGCATTTGGATGTAACTAGGGCATTTACCACACCACTGTTGTTTTTGGTTTGTCTTGATGCCACCACTGACAATGAATGTGGGAAGCAAGCTGTGTCTTGGCCATGCTCCCAGTATGCACTACCAGTAAGTATGTAATAATTTAATAAATGCTTTTGAATGAATGACAAGTCATCCCAACAGCAGGCAGCACCTGTGTCCTTATTATATACTAAGAGCTTTACTAAGCATGGGTTGGTTGTCTTATTTGAATTTTATAACCCTATGAGGAAGGTACCACATGCACCCTATTTCAAAGAGGAAACTGAGTCTGAGAGAGGCTAATTTGTCTATGTTTAGTGATAGTTTTGCTCCAGGCTTATGTCTGTAGGGTCTATGACATCCTGTGACAGCTGAGGAATGTAAGCAACTCACTACCACCTCCATGGAAGGGACTCTCATTTCCCTCTTCAGGCCCCTCCTGAAATAAGGAGGCAGGATTGAAGTTTTTTTAAAAAAAAAGAGTGTCTGGGCTTTGCCCCAGACTAATGAGAACAGTTTTTCTTAAATGGTAGAATACTTTTTTGTGGTGGTGGTGGGGACTGGGGATTGAACCAGGGGCATGACACATGGAAGGCAGGTACTGTCCCATGAACTGTGCCAGTCCAATGGCACCAATACTGTTAAAAAGCATCCAGGTCATTTAACATGAAGCTGGTTGAGAATTCGTGGTCTAGATTGATGCTAAAGGCCTTCCCGTTGCAAACCTTTCATGAGCATTGATCTATAATGGAACTGCCTTCTTTTGTGCCTGAGACACAAAACGTTACCAAAACACTAATGATGTTGGTCTGGGAATGTATTATGAATCACGTAGGCACAGAGGGACATCTACCCCCAGACAGGGTAGGAGGAAGATCCTAATGAAAGGCTCTCATTGAAGAGATGGTTGAAAATGGGTAGCTTGATCTTCTATGTAAAAAGCATTACTTAAAAACTGAAATTAGTGAGATGGACTGTAGCTTAATAAATAGGACATTCTGTGTTTCAGTAGGAGTCAAAAGACATAACGTTGAATTTATACCTTACTTGCTTTGAAATTTCCACACAGGATGCAGCTACCTTTCAAGTTAGGTTGTGAGAAAAGATACAGCTATATTGTTGCAGATGTCAAATGAGAAAATATTTGGGAGAACGTTTTGTATAGTGTAATGCAATATAAAATATAGCATACTTGATTTTCACCTAGAAATAAAGATGGCCCCAGTTTTCTCAAAGAGTGTTCATATATGGGGCAAGTCATGATACACAAATAGTTCTGTTATTTCTATCCTGTGTAATAAACAGGTTCTTGTATATGTAAGAAATTTGTTTATTTTCTTTATCCATCTAGGAGCTTTGAACTTTATACTATTAACATGAGTGGGCTCCTAAAAATCTATAATATTCACCTCAAAATAAAAATATTTCCCCCAAACATGAGAGCTATATTAAAGAAACAGAAAGTGCAGCGTTGTTTATTAGGATGTTGTTTACAGACTGCTTAAGATTTATAGTGGTCATTCAAGATGACTTGGGGCCTTGAGAAAAGTACACTGATTTTCCTTTATTTTCTTTTTTCTTCATCCTTCCTCTATTGGGGGAACACTTTGGATATCAATTGTTCTTCGAGTAGAAGATGGACTCTACTTGATGTTATAGTTGCAGAAACAACTGGAAATTCAACAGTTGTTTATTTAGGTGGTTGGCGCAAAATAAAAATTGTTGGAATTTCTCAAAAAAGTATGTTGGGAATCTCTTTACTTTTTAGAGTACATATGACATAATGGATAGCTTTAGAACAAGCTAACATTACTATCATCCAGGCATGTGCAACTGGTGCAGTTCAGTAGTACACAAACAACTGAAACAAACACATGATAGGGCAGAAACTTAAGTTACAAAATACAGTCAATATTACAATTAATACAGATAGTAAGGACCACTGCTCGGATTCTGCACGCTTAAAAAAACAACCTTTATACAATAATTAAAATTATGCATTTCTACTGAGATTCTTAGGGCATATTACAAACACACATAATCCTAAAAGCTTGTGGTCACATTTTGGTTTTGTTCCAGTGGTGCACAATCACATGAAATTTTATATCTGTTTCGTGTGAAATAAACATTTGGCTGAAGTGTAATAGCTGCTGAGTTAAAAATATCTCCATAAAAATGTTTGGATTAAAATAATCCTCAACATTAGAATTCTAATGAGGATTATTTTGAGAGTCCTTATGAAGAGTCCTTAAGAACTGTAGAAATAGAAGTTAGGAAATTTCAGTGTGTTTTGCCTATTTTTTTTAAACAAGAGTAAACAAATACTGGATTTAAAGTGCAGCTTCTTTCTTCTCTCCATACAGTTCTTCCCCTCTGAAGATCAGTTCTGTATTAATTTTCAGAATCTCCACTGAAGATTAAGTTGCACGACAGTCAAGTGCATTTGTCTCGAAAGTCAATGATGGCCTTCCACAGTGTGCAGAGCATCCCTCCCCTGTTAAAGACACGAGAGCATAATAAAGAGAATATTGTACTTGAAACATTGTCCTTGAAATAGAAAAGTGACTTAGCTTTCAGTTGCTTGAAGATCCCAAAGTCTTATCAGTTCTCGTGAAACATTTTTTACATGTTTTGTCATCATCCCTTTATTCCTTTCCTGTCCACTCCCACAAACTGTCAGGCCCCAAACACCATTTTAGATTTTCAGCATTTTTGAAATGCATCTTTATAGATGGAGGTGCAATAATTACAGATATGCCTCACTTGGTAGAGAAAACTATGGTAAGAAATTATATTAGATTATACCAGGTTTGGGATGAAAAATCAGCCCCTTATCCTAATTATTTCTAAAAAGGATGAGACAATCATGAACTACATTACAGTGTTTACAGCAGCCTTACAATATCTACACAGTCCATAGTCTGCATATTATTCGAGAAATTCTAGTTGATTCTCACTTACATACAAATACTGCTTATTAGAGCATCCAAAAATAGCCTGGCCCAATGAAGTTTACATAGAGTGGCTGTAAACCAAAGAGCTCTGCCTAGGAGCGCAGTGCTAGATGCCCAGCCAGACAGGAACCTGGAACTCTATTTCAGCCCAGTGCCCTTTCCATTGTGCCAACTACACAGAAAGAAAAGTGGTACCTTATTCTCAGGCATTTTAAATCATCACGTGTAACATAGTAGAGAACATCCACTAGTGTATAATCCTCAGCCAAAAACTGTAGAGAAAGTAAAATATGCACAAAGGTAAAATCTTTTGTCTATCTTTAATAAACTCCATCTACAATACACAAACATCAGCAATCACTCAAAATGAATCTCAAAGGAAATCCACTGAAAACATAACCTTTGGAATTATTAGGAGAAAGGCCTCCTCACTACAAAATACTGACAAAGAAGTGCATCCCAATGACTTATAAAGATTATAAATAACACAATATCTGAATGGGCTTCTAATGAATGGATAAGTTTCACTTGTAATTAAACCTGCTGCTTCTAAGCAAATGTTTGTGTTAAGAGGTTTGGTGCTACAGAGCTTTTTTTCTCAAGTGGATAAAATGTTCCTGGAAAATTACTGTTTAGTCTCTGAACTTACTTTTTCATGCTCATAAAAAGAGACTTTCTTGTAATTAACCACAAAATCAGAGTCCTGAATTTAAACTGAAGTTTTTAATTTAAAATCCAATAAAAGAGCACTTATTTAGTGGATCATTAATTACTGCTCCTTAATTGGGACTTGAGTCCAAGTTAAAGGGATAAATATTTTGGAGAACTTGCTTGGATGCATTATTTTCCACGTGTAAGGGAGTTGTTTCAATTTAGTTAGCAGCAATTTATTAAATGCAAGTTTCTGAGGAGACTTACATTATATTTAGTGGTTCAATGGATTATCAAGTGAAGGGGAAAGATATCTTTGGTTATTTTAAAAGTTTACATATAAAACTGAAACAACATTAGGAGGTTCTTCCTGTCAAATAAAAATAGTATCACCTTTTAATGTGTGTATCTGTACATATATATATATATATATATATATATATATGTAAAATCTTAAAACATAAATGCTATTCATGCTAAGTATAAAAGTCTATAATGATCAGGGAAGAATTACATTATTACAGACATAATATGGTTTGTATAGAAAACATCTTTTACATACATTTACTAACTAGATCTATTTTATTACGTAGCAATAAATAGCTGCTGCCAGAGGAGTCTAATAATGTTGGAAGATAATTTAAAATTTGGCAAAAGAAAGAATTAGCAATAGAATAACTTTTTTCCTTTGGTTCTCTCTTGATTTTTGTCACTTTTATTTTTAATTCAAAAAATTAAAACCCTTAGAGGCTGCAGACAAAAATGCTTTTGCCCACCTACAAATCATATCAATGCACACCCTGCAGCCCCACCTCGAAATCATCTTCTCCTTCTCTGACTCCCCAAACATACATTCAGATGGCCTTGTTTATTCCTATGTATCCTTTAGATTCATCCATTATTTTTCAAGAGGACCTTCCCCAACCGCTCCTCTCTCTCAAAACACCTGAAACCTTTGCTTCATAGAATTTACCCGTGTATAATTACACATTTTATCTGTGGACTATCCAATTATTGTCTGCTGCCCTGGTCTGCAAACAGGAGAGCAGGGCCAGCTCTCATTTGCTCCCCAGTGTATTCCCTGTGCCTAGAAGGTTTCCTGGCGCATAGCAGGCCGGCAGCATTCTGAAATGAACTGAAAGAACACGGGTCCCACAGACAGTTTTCTTTACCCGACTTATAGTGTCTTCGTCAGCTCCATTTTCTCTCAGCCAGTCTGTGAGTTCAGAATCTTTGGTGGTTGTGCCTGGAGAATTCGGGTGACACACTGGCAACCCAGGGATATCTAAAATCGAATTTGGGGGTGACATTCTTAGCTTCATCTCACGGAGGTCATCTGAGACCCTCACAGTCCACAGACATTTACAGCACAGACTAGTTATAGAAACATTGAGATTGGCAGTGTAAATGATAAATAAAATGAGACTGGTTAATGCACTAGTAAATAAGGAATCAGAGGCAATCATGTAGGGATGCTCCCATTTTATACCTTCATGTCAGCTTTTTAGTTTCTTTTCTTTTTTTTTTTTTTTAACCAGGGATCAAACTCAGGACCTTGCACTTGCAAGGCAGACAGTGGGACCACGGAGCTAAATCCCCGGCCAGCTTTTTAGTTTCTTATAATCATCTTTATGTGCCAAAATTATTCTTTGTGTTTTTCATGCAACAAAGATGAACATAGCCATGAACTGTAAATTATAATAATGTTTTTCACTATTTGTGATAATATGAAGGGCTCCAAACAAATAACTGTAAATTCTATTTTCTTCAAAATTGGTTAAATAAGATTCTCTAAAGATAGTCTTTCCCCTCCAGTTTCTCACAGACTAGATTACTTCAAAGTTTCTAACCTATGGCTTTTTAAATTACTGCATCCCTATTCTATTTAAGCCTCTTCCAATTGTAAGGCTAGAATACACTGAGCACAAATGCAAAGTGACAAAACAGTTTTATTTTATTCTAGTAATCTCCTTTCAACGTCTTTAAAAAGAAATAAAGACTAAATGGAGAGCCCTATTTACCTCAGTAATATATAATTTCAGAATTGTCTGCTTTTGCTGCACTCATAAGAAATGGTAATTTACTACAGTTAAGAACTGAGTCTTTTAAAAAGCAATTCCTGCCTGTCACTGTGGTGTAAGGGCCAGAGGCTGACTGAGCCGTGAAATAAAGCTGCCTGTTGGCCTTCTCAGCTTTTTGTGCAGCCTGGTTGAACAGTGCTACTTTGAAATTTCCTGTTATTCACCTACCTATTGGCTGGGACTTAAGCTTCAGGTGTTTAATTTCTTGGTCTTTTTCTTCAATAGCTTGATGAAGGAGGGCTTGTAATTCTTTCTCTTTTCGAACCAATTCTTCCAGTAATCTGCAGAGGAAAATTATATTGGTTGATAGGATAATAAAGCTGGAGCCAACACACAGTGATCCTCTAGATATGGGCCTCTTAAGCTACAACGAGCACAGACACCCCTGGGTTTTTACAAACCCAGACATTGTGTTCCAGCAGCTCTGGAGTGAGGCTGGAGACTCTGCCTGTGTAATAAGTGCCCAAGAAGCACTGATGATGCAGATCCACAAACCACCTCCCACCTCTAGCAGCAAAGTCACCCTACCCCTCTCTCTCCCTCCAGCAGTGAAGATCTAGAAGACTCTGTGCTTCTAAGCAAGGATTCAAAACTTCCATCCCAGATGGTCTGTTAAAATCTTCAGAGATATTGTTCTACTTTTCATGACCACAGATGTCAAAAATATAATTGTAGGATATTAACAGACTGATATTTTGCATGTGTGACCCCTCAACAAAAGTAGGTAAATATGGATAATATCATAATCAATGCAAAACGTAAAGGTAATCGCTTTTCTTTAACTAGGGAAATTGGAGAACTATCTCTAAGTAAGGCTGCCTAGAATATCTAGCATATGACAAGCATTCCATAAATGTTGCTGAAACCGTGATTGTTACTATTGTTATTCTCTCCCTTGTGGAGGTGGCTGGGCTTAGTGAAGTGGCTAAAAGGATAGCTGTGTTCCTCGTACATTCAGTTCCTAGTTGGTATCTGATGCTCTCTCCAAAACAAGGAGAAACTGTGATACACATAACATAGTTCTTGCCCACGGAAGGTTCATTATGCAAGGGAG